ACACGACCGGAGCTAGAAGACATTGCAGCCTGACATGCCTCAGGAGAAGAGAAAGTGACAGTTCCCCAACTGAGAAATTGATCAATTATAAGGGGGAGCTTACCCTCTAGACCTTCCCTGATCCGTCATCATCACGTTTGCACTGACAGCATCAGGGAACTCCTGAAGAAGTTCCTCGTCGGTCACTGACCAGCTGAGGTTATGTACTTTAAGCACACAACCATCTTTAGATCCGTGTCGATCGGTTCCATATCTACTTTTCTGTTCCTGCTGGCCGTGCATCTCGTTTTGTTGCTGACCATACCCGGTCGAAGACGTGCGACCTTAAACAGACATAACCATAAAGCACTCTTCAAGTACTTACCCTCGCCAAATTGGGCTTGAACGGTCTGTCCGCCAACGTCCTTTCCTGTTTGACATTCATCATAGACAGCCTGGCAATCACGCTCCGACCGAAATTGTAGTACGCAGGCACTGTTTCCGAAAGATACCAAGCAGAAATATAGCAGCAATCAGAAAGTCGTATGGGTGATTAAAGAAATTATCATCCTGATTGTAACCGTGGTCCCGCATGCCATTACAGAAAAGCGGAAAGCTACATCAAGTTGTCCGTCAGACCGACACCGAGAGGATACCAGACGTGGGCCGCTTACATTTAAGTGACCTGCTCAAGCGAGCGTCGCAAATGAAAAGGCCTGCTTGAACACCCAAAAAAGAAAAAAGGTAGGGTGTTAGTTAACCAACTGTCTATTATACGAAACGCATGCATAATTCACAAAAAGCTGCAGCTACAAACTACGTTTTCTTTTTATCCCGCTACTTATTTAAAAAGTAACAGATATTACTACATGTACGGAATTACTAAGAACAACTGGCAAAAACCGAAGTTATTCCCGCGCGCTTTACCTTCCTTATTGTAATGACAGGCAGGACGAAGACTATCACGAATAGCAGCAGGTATATAGCTATCAGAATTTCTTCAACTCACCCGTACGGCCGGCATCTAATGCTTCGGGCGGAAGGGAAGTATGGACGCAGTTCCTCTTCACCTAAGTTATCTGGCACGTTAAAAACGTTTAGACATGTTGATCCAGATCCGTAAAGACCCGCACCGGGTGTTTCGCAAAGTATACGCGCCTAAAAAGGACAAGCCGTTTACATGCAAGTTCCAATAGTGTAAGAGAGAAAACGGGAGATAATACGAAATGTCTTTATTGGATTTGTCTATACAATGTGTGTAAAAGCGGCAGTTAGTTGCCCCCTCTCCAGTTGGATTTGAAACCGCCTCCACGGCCTCTCGGTCCACCGAAGCCACGCCCTCTTTGACCTCGGAAATTATTACCGCCACGGAAACCGTTGGTACCACGCCCGCCCCTAGGGCTCCCCCGACCGCGGCCGTTGAATCTGTTGCCACCGAATCCAGGGAAAGGCTTGTTGGGACCATTTTGTTGAACAGCCTCCTTTTTGGGCTGTTTTGCGGGCGGGGCTTCAGCTGACTCCTCTTCTTCGGATCCTTCCGATTCAGGTTCATCTCCATCAGCGGAATCGTCTTCTTCCTCGGAGCCGGCTTCGTCGTCGTCTTCAGACGCGGATTCATCGTCGTCATCAGAAGCATCTTCCTCGTCATCAGAAGCAGCTTTATCTTCCATTTCAGCGTCATCATCCTCGTCGCTCTCGTCTTCATCGTTTTCATCATCATCGTCTTCCGATTCGCTGCCTACCTGTGCTGGTAGAGCAGGCGCTAAAGAAGATTAAGAATAAGGACGAAATGGTTTTACCTTTATTCTGTTCTTTAGTAACGGTTTGCTTTGCCTCTTTTTTGGAAGGTGTTTCTTTCACGGGCGCCTCGGGCTGCTGACCTAAATAATTACATGCAATGTATGATGCTACGAATAGACGTTAGACGCGAAGTGGGGCAAAGTTAACTTCGAGAATTACAGGAACCACGACTGGAACAAGTTGAGGAACTTACTTTCGAGGTGGGCGCGTAACTGTCTGCCCTGGACCTGTTTGGAGGGGGTTTCATTCAGTGCCTTCTTAGCGTCTTCTGCCGACTTAAACGAGATAACCGCGGTTCTAAAAGGTGATTTGTTTAATAATATTGCCAGGTAAGGTAATAATGACATTCGCGGGAAAACAACTTACCCATTGAATTTGCCGTCATCGCGTTTTTTTAGGGTAACCCAGGAACAGCCAGGGTACAGCTGGCGAATTTCGTCAATCTTTGCGGTGAAGGGTAAATTGGAGACCACAAGGCTATTTGGTTTCGAGTCCTTTTGTGGTTTTTTTTCTTCTCCAGGTATTACAACACGAAGTGGGCGACCCTCCATTACCTTTCCTTTTGCTTTAGTAGCAGCTTTTTCTTTATCTTCCTTGGTCTTGAAAGTCAAATGAAATGAACTAAATGATGAAAGTAAATTAACCCAATATGACTTACCCCTTTTTTGTGGATTCGACTAAGGTTGCTGTTGGGAATTCCTTTTTCATCTGTTCAACACCAATGGTAAATGGTGCATTGGTGATAATTAAAGTCGTCTCCGTGACGGCAGGCCATTGCTCTAAAAGAAAAAAGGATAGCACATGTAGAACCCATATCTTCGGTCAGGCATAAGCAGTAACGAAATTCAAATGGCCGTGCTTGGCCTCGGTATAGGAACTTACGTTGGTTTTTCAGAAAAGCCCTGATGTTTGTCCCAGACTCAGATCGACCTTCGAGCGCTTTGAAGGCTTTTCTGGCATCGGCCTCACTGAGACAGTCAATATAGCAGGCGTTGAATAATCTATTTTTAGGCCCAGACGTCAGAAGGCGCATAGACTTTGGTTCGACGCCGATTATTTTTTTAATGTCTTCTGTTGTGAGGGACTTCGGCAAATTAGAAGCAAAAACAGTCATGAGAGGACCGTCGTTGCTGGTTTGCTTTGACTTGTTCGTTAGGATCTTGGAGACGTCGCCATCAACCATGACGGCGGAGAGGGCACGCGTGTTATATGTAGCCCCGGAGCAAGCGGATACTGCCTTCTTCGCCGCTTCGTCATTCGGAAGGCCAAGCAGGGCAACGGGTGAGTAAATGCACCCCAGAGTCTGTGCATTTACACCGCGTTTTTTGAGGAATCCGGCCAATAGACTCTCGTTCAGACTGTCAAAGTTGAACAGTAGGACGTGGGATTTGGCCACTTTAGGAGTGTCGGAGGGCTTAGAAGTCGTTTGCGGAAGAGCCTTCTGTTGAGGGGTTTGTTTGCCTTCGCCTTTAGCTGGCGTCTTTTTCTGCTTTTGTGAGACTTTAGTATCTATTTTATCGATAGTGTCGTCTTCGTCTTCATCATCGTCATCTTCATCATCCTCATTGTCATCATCTTCGTCTTCATCACCCTCGCTGTCGTCCTCGTCATCATCACCTTCGCTGTCATCGTCATTGCTCACCTCTTCTTCCGATTCGTCCCCGCTACCGACCGCGGGGTCCGAGTCGTCAGATTCCTCTTGTTGCTTCATCTTTTTCATTTTGAGAATGCTCTGATCAATCTCAGGTTCTTCGTCTTCTGAATCGTCAGGCAGTGGACGCTTTCCACCCAGTTTCGAGTTTGGTGTCTTCTTCTTTGACTGTGGAGT